CTGCTCCCCTTTTCAACCTTTGGCCTATTGCTCTGAAAAGTACATATTTTCCATGCGGCATCACAAATACATAACATACCTTCAATATCTTTTGAAAAGATGAAAATTAGTAAAGTATTTAATTTGATGGGATATGGTTTTGTTTTTCATGTATTGTGTGTAATGACATTGGATTATACGTAAGTATAGTTGATTTTTTATTATTTTATTCTGTTTCTGTATTATTATTTGATGGTTTTTTGTTCGTCGAAAAGGCCGGCCTTCTTGCAGTAGTTATAATGTGATGACATTCCGAAAATGCATTGTTCTGCTGAATAATTCACATTATCTTTAGGATCCTGATATTTTTTTATTTGTGATATATTTGGCATCTAGAAAGTGTTTCTTATGTGATTGGCATGATTGATAACAAGATACTTAAGCTCTATGTCGCCCGCCCTTAGAGTTAGAATCAACATTCAGAGATGTAACATACTTCATTATTAAGGATTTAAAACTCCAGCATCATCAATTTTGTCTGTACATAATTTACAACGTCTAATTGTTCTCTGTTCAATATTTTTTTATTTGACTCACATTAGTATTTGCTATTGGCATGCATGCTTTTAATTTTCTATCTGGAGCAGGAAAAGGCAAGCCGAATACCTACATTGTCTCATGAAGGATGGAAAGTCAGACCCTAAAGCAACATTGTATGTCATTGTCATTTACATTATAATTATCTCACGTCTGCTGATTAGCTTGGCCATCGCAGATTAACTTTTGCCATTTCTTTTTTTTTGATCGGTAAACTTTTNTTTTTTTTTTTTTTTTTTTAGTTTTCCTATGATTATAACGTTATCATTCTTCTTTGCTCACTAGCCATCCTTGGTCTTGTCTGGCAGAAGTTGCTTTAGTGCATTATCACAAGGAACAGGTTGTCTCATTTTTTGTTTAATAATTTTAAGTTAATTCTATCTACTCATGTGCTCTAGTTATTTATTTACTTTCTCCTCTGGTCTAGGGCATTGAGCTTGACCTTCTGAAAATGGTGAAAGAATATGGTAAACTCATTCCACCGAGTTCAAGCTTAGAACCAGGAGCATATCATCACATCTTCTTCAAGGCTGTGCCCAAAAATGTTGATTGTGCCGACTTGTCCCCACAATTGTTTTTCGCTGAGATTTTTGACTGTGGTGTGAAACTTCACCCCACTCATTGTTTCGTCATTAAACCTAATGATGATCATGGTAATGCTCCTAACATCCTTATCTGCTTTTTAATTCGTGTTATGAATATATGGCGCATACGTAGTAAGTAATGTTACAATTTAAATGGTTCTTAAGGTGTATATGTTGTGGCTTGATGCAGGCTTTCTTTCACCTTAGAAAAACGTTGCATTTGAATTATTATTATATGTTCCAATTTGAACGTTTTTATGTTAGAGTTCACATTTTTGTATTTGTATTTTCGCAGTCCAAAAAAGAAGACTTGGTTGTGGCATTTGTCCTGATGATGAAGAATTTCCACACCCAAGTACTGGATTTATTGCTGGCCATTTTCCATACGTTGAAGTTTAACCTATGAGGGAATATTAGCTATATTAGAATTATCATCCTATGTAGTAACTGAATTGTTATTAATCTGCTACGATTGACTGTTACATGTAGTATGTCAATAATATCTAACCATCAATCAGCACCAACTATGAAGCTAAACATACGGAAGTGCTTCACTTTTTCGAATCGAAACAATGAATTAGGGAAAGATAATTTATTTATTTATTTTTTGTTTTGTAGTGTTACAATTTTTTCAACGACAATATTATAAAAAATAGATAAAATTAGTGAGTCTGAATGCATATCTTCTCGGAATTAGAAATTTATGAATCGGAGAAGATAAGTAACATGCAAAAATACAGGAGAGACAAAAATTATATGATAATAAAGTGAATATATAAATGTATTTATATTCTTATTTTGGAAAAATAAAAAATAAATGTACAACAAATATTGAATAAATATTGGAGAGATAACTATTTAAAATGGCACATATTTTTTTACCTTAGATTGTCGAAAATGATAATTATTTTAAATATATCTATAAAATTATATATATCTAACACAAATATTACAACTCTACTAATTCGATTTTTATTTTTTTAGAATTCTTTTCAAATATTATATTATAATTATCGCCTACTACATTAATTGAGTTGATATGATGTATATATGTATTTATACAAGTTTGATGGGTCATGAAGTAGGGAAACATACGAGTGGAAAAAATAAACCACCGATAACAGTCCACTCGAAGGTGACAATGACGTAAAAGCTCCGACAATTGCCCCGAGCATGACTGAAAATCAGTCTCTTCTATTCGAGGTCAAACAACCAGCAATCGAGCACGCTGAAAATCAAAAGCCTTACATCCTTGAGGTGGTTGAGACTTTCCCTCTTACCTATGATCTCGGGCTAGTCCTTTACCATGACGATCTACCACCGAGACGAAAAGAGCCGGTCAAGCACCCGACACCGGACGAGGGGATCTTTCATAAGCATGGAGCTGCAAGGTTCATGCCTCCTTTGAGGCCACCTATGAAGCCGCCATGGACCGCTTGAAGAAAGCGGAGCAATAAGTCGAGCCAACGACAATAAAAAAAAAGGCGCTTGTTGGGAGGCAACCCAATGGTGTGCGACGTGACTTCTTCTCTTGATAAGGTGAACTCTTTCCTTTTACTTTCTATTTTGTTCTCTTATGTGCAAACTCTAAGTTTGGGGAGATTCATTAGAGTGAGATATATTTGTGTGAGTTGTTGAGTTGTGCTCTATATTATATATTATCTTGATTTGTTGGAGTATATGTTACTTGTATGTGGAACTTTGCGATGATGAATTGAGTGTCTTCTGGAATTATCATGCTAGTTATGAGACTTGGATTAATGGTTTCTGGTTAAATTCTTGAAGTGTTGTCATTTAAGGGACAAAGACATGACGATTGATATTTATGTGTTTTATTTGTGGTGAATTGGTCTCGAACTGTTTATATTTTTGAAATGTGCTGATGACTATTCTGTTTGATGTCGATTGTGTGAGGTAACTTGACGTGGAAAGTTGGGAGTTGATTGTCTCGGGAAAAAAAAGGAAAAAAAAGAAGAAAAAAAAAAGAATGGTGGTGTGAATAATGAATGTGGAGAAAATAATAGGTGTTGGAAAAAAAAAAGAGAAAAAAAAAGATCGTGGGCTGCAACAGCTGCCAGTCTGTGAAGTTATAGTGCAACACTCCAGCACGAATAGCTATTGATCATAGACTGTGACGAAGCTGCCGTTCCCACAAAAAAAAAAAAAAAAAAAAAATCGAGACTTTTGATTTCTGGCTAGAAGCGAAGAGGAACTAAACCGGTTGGCAAAGAAAGGGATGTCGTTAGTTGCATGATTGGTATACTCGGTGAATAGATTGATGAGCTGTGGTAATTCACTGGATTGATATTTGATTGTTGGCGTTCTAAAGATGATTTTATTTCGAGTCCGGGGTTATTAATTTGGGAAATTGTGGCTATGCATTATGTGAGATGTGTGAGGATCTGAGCAAATATTCCACGTACTTGTTTACATCCATCTATGTGCTTATAGTTCTAAGTTGCTTGGGGACAAGCAACGGTTTAAGTTTGGGGAGATTTGATAGGTAGAAAAATGTGCTTATTTTATATGTTTAATAGTGTATTTTTATACACTTAATTTATTCGCACATTTATATTTTTCTATTTATTTATTATTTGGATAGATTCATACACATTAATGTTTTTATATTTATTTTCAGCTCATTAGAGTATTTTGTGAACGAGAGCTTTGGACGGGAATTTACACCAACAATTTTTGGAGCATCCAATACCAACCCATTATTTCGGTCCAAACTCATGAGCTCAAGGATGACTTATACAAAGCCCAATATTTTGAGTTGGACGTGGGCTGCTAATGGTTAGTAGGATTTGGCCCAAATATTAACCAATTTGTTTGGAAATAATTCCTATGCATGGAATTTAATTTGGTGAATGGGTCAATACACGTGGGAAATACATTAAATCAGGGAGGAGAGAGTTTGACTTGAAAAAGAAGACTTTGAGGGGCGTGATTTATTTAGAAGAAGAAAGCCGCAAGCAAAAAAAAAAAAAGAAAAGAAGAGGATCGCAGACAGAAAAGAAAAATACGCAGCAACAGAGAGAAAAGGAGAGAAGGCTACACACGCGGAGGGAAGCCGCACCCGCACACGAGGGAGATTTATTTTCTCTCTTTTATTTTCTTTTATTTATTTTTACTAGTATGTTAGGCTAGATTTTTATCCAGTTTGAGGGGATGTTTGAACCCTAACTTTGATTTGTCTATGGATTGAAGGATTTATATTTATCGTTGATTAATCTAGACGCCGTATTTATTTTTGTTGATGAGTTGATTCATGCTATCTGTGTTTAATGTTTATGAATTGTGGGTGTTTGATTTAGTCTGGCCAACTACGTTAAATGTTCATAGTTTAATTGCTATATTTGGGACTTTAATCCGTAATTGTTATTGTCTCATTTCATTAGTAGTAAACTAGGGGTCGTGCATCTTTAGGGTAGCGTGAACATAAGTTAAATGGTCCGAGCTTTTGCGACCGCTGCTTAGACTAATCTATTTTCCTAGTAATTATTGCTGCTAGTGTATTAAATCTAGAGAGCTTATTCTAGGTTGTCCACTAGTTAGGTTTAGTCGAAGAGCTTATTTCGATTAAATATTCGGTAAGGGAAAATTCGGTTAACAGAGTTTGTTGTTAGCTAGGTTGATAATTCATTAGCAATCTAGAGAAAACGTCGAAATTAATTAACGGTAGATTGAGATTGGGTGATAACTGAACCGAAAACTGGACTTCTCTTATTTTATTTGATTTTTATTTTATTTTGTTATTTTTATTTTTATAAAATCAATCCCTCCTATCTTTATTTGCTTTCGTAGTTTAATTCAGTTAATACGAGAATTATCACGATTTAATTCCTGCTCCTGGTGGGATCGACCCTTACTCGCCACTACTACTAGTTAGTAGAGGTTAGTCGAGGAAAAGTTTATAAATTTAAATTTGCCGCGTCGCGACGCGCGGTCAGTGATGATATGGAAAAGTGTGTCTGATTTGCAGGAAATGATGAGGCAGCTTGGTTAAAGAATGGGTTTTCACGTGTGTTGTTCTAGGCGACAATTTTGACTCAATTGAACTGTTTCTTTTTTATTCTTGTGTCGAGAGGTGATACGTAGTGTTTGTAGGTGATTACTTTTTATTTTCTGTGAGAAGATGGATGGATTGTGAGTATTGGATTGTGACTATGGTGTTTTGGCATTGTTCAGCTTATCAGAAACATATAGATGGATTGTGAGTGTGGCGTTTTGGCATTGTTCAGCTTATCAGAAACAAATGAATATGGTATTGTCAAAATCAATTGTATGGAGGATGGAGGATGGAGGAGGTTGTTAACACATCGAACATTCGTGAACAAAAGTTCGTTCGTGTTCGATAAGAACTTGTTCGTTTGTTAGTTCGAATAGAAAATTAGGCTCGTCTAATAATTGAATGAACACAACCTCATTTGCAAGTGTTAGATAATGTTCGCAGAAATTAATGTAATATTATTTTATTTTATTTTTGTAATTTTATATGACATTTTTAATAAAAAATTAAAACGAAAAAATATTTTTATTTCATTTTTTTATTTTTGAGTATGCATAATTTTTTAGTTAATCAATCATACCTAGAAACTTTGTTTTTTAAATTATTTGAACATGAATAAACTCGAATTTTGACGAATAATTAAATGAACAAGCTCGGATTCGATTATTTGCTAGAAAAATATACAAATGAACACGAACAATATTTCAACAAATGAACACAAGTTCGGAATGCTCAAGCTCGGTTCGTTCGGTTTGATTACAACACTATCTAAACGGCTCTTTTAAGACTTTATTACCATTAGAGCAACTTTAAGACTCAGGTTTGGAGAGCTTTGAAAAGGGCCTTTTAAGACTTACAACTAGGGCAACTTTAAGAATGAGGTTTGGAGAGATTTGAAAACGCCAAATTTTACAATTACAACAACTTTAACCAATTTTTTTTCTTTTTATTTCGTCTCATAGTATAATTTATTAAGTTATTTTGTCTCATCGGAAGTCATCAAAAGAATTCCTTTTCAATAAGACAAGAAATGATAGGGAAGTATCTTATCGACAAAGATTGTGCTTTCGTGAATGGGGTTGGCCCACGACCACTAATCCATCGGCACCCACTTAAGCTTTTCCAATTTTTTTAAGCAAAATTTTTAGGTGCGTTTTTAAATTACTTGCAACTTTATAAATAGAAATAATTATGCTTCTAATTAAATTGACCTAATTTATCTATATTAATGCCTAAAATCAGTTATCATATCTTTTCAACCTCCTTCCCCTTTTTATGCGTTTGATTAAGAGAGAGAAATGAATACATGCATATATTAAATAACTGACTCCTTTTAATTCCTTAACTAGTACGTGTAACCCGTGCGATGCACGGGCTGTAATTATTTGGTGGAATATTATAAATTGAATGAGATGAATCAAAAAGTAATAAACATTTTAAATTTGGTCATGAAATGTATTTCTTTTTTTTTTTTTTTTTTTT